CAAGAACTTTTAGATTTGCGTGGTTTTTTTTGAGTTGCAAAATCCACTTGAACATAACGCTGCTTTTTTCGAAATTTCTCAAGAACCATTCGAGCAGAATTCGTTTTGGCATCGTTGGATAGAGAATTGAATGGGGGGGTCATGACCCCCATGACCCCCCCTCCGATCCGCCCTTGCTTATAACAATGCACCTCTATTTGAATCCCCGCTAAAAATGAAACTAATCAAATCCCCATATGGTCTTAGAGCAGCTTTAACGCCAACTACACCAACGTGATCTACAAAGGCCTGGACTACATAACTCGATATATGGACGAATCAGAATCGACCTACACAATTGCAATTTGCAGTTATGTGATGTACTTAGCGAAACATACATCCCGACAAAGCGTGTTCAATTTACTGGATTCAAGAGCCAAATTGGAAAACGACTTAAAATGGTACGGATGCCTTAATCGACAATTCTAATTAGAACAATTCAGTAGAATAATAGAATTCCCTATTCATAGGTGGGCGAAAGACACCCTTAGTAAAGAAGATAAAAACCCTTGGAGGCATCGACCGCGATCCGTAGATATCGAAATGACTTCCTATGGACTGCTTACCTTCTTGGAAGCCAACTTACTAGACGACGCGGTGCCAGTGTTAAACTGGCTGGTGAACCAGCAGAACAACATTGGAGGTTTTACTTCATCCAGAGATACCGTCGTAGGGCTGCACGCCCTTTATAAGATGGTGTTGAGGCTGAGTAGTCCAGTGAATTTACAAATTGAATTCGCTTATAACAATGGGAAAACTGGAAAATTCAGCATCAATCAGAACACTGCTATGATTCTTCAATCGGCAGAGGTACAACAGAATGATTCTGAAACTTCCTGACATTGTTTTTGGCTGTTTGTAATTCCAGGTTGATAAAGCCACTAGGGAGGTAAATGTTACAGCCCAAGGAAACGGAATCGGCATTTTCAGGGTATCTTATCAGTACAACATGAACGTGACTGGCCCCTGGCCATTATTCACCTTGGACCCTCAAGTGGACAAGAACTCAAATGTTGATCATCTCCAACTTTCCATTTGTACCGCGTAAGTAAATCAGCAAATAACCAAAATAAGTAGCCAAAGAAAGATTATTCTATTCAATTTCAGATTTGCTAGCCGCAACCTCTCGTTTACACCTCTAAGTAACATGGCAGTAATGGAAGTAACTTTACCCTCAGGATTCACTGCCGATGGCGACTCTCTGCCCAGCTTGGAGGTATCTCAAAACGTCCAAAAAGTCGCTACTAGTCACGAAAATACCAAGATTTTATTGTATTTTAATAACTTGACTGTTACCGAATACTGTCCAACAGTTTCTGCCTTCAGGACGCATAAAGTAGCCAAACAAAAAGCTGTTCCAGTTGTTATTTACGACTACTATGATACATGTGAGTTAACCGTCGAGGAAATCAGACTAAATATTACAATGTTGAAAATTGCAGCAAGACGAGCGCGTATATTCTACAGAGGACCCAAATCCACACTGTGCGATATATGCGAAGGAGAAGATTGCGGAGATATTTGCGAAGCCATCTTCGTAGCGCAAAAGAGCCAAGAAAGCGACAGCGAATCGGCCGGAAATTCTATCAAGATATCCGCCGTTATTTTGATATTTGCCTCTATTTTAAGCGTATTTTAGACAGATACTAAAGTTTTTGGCAAAGTAATAACTTTGTAAAAATATCTACCTCTAATACGAAGCATTCACTTCAGGACTTAAGTTTAATTATCTGCTGACTAACGCAAATCTACCTTCATTCATTCGATATGCGCGCAGTTTTCGATGTAACACATTCCGGATGATTAGTTTTGAATGCATTCGTACAAAACTGGGATGTTTTTTATGTAAATTCTAATTTGTAAGTGTTATGTAAATAGCAACTAATCCTTATGTACGTTGACTTAAAGCAAAAAAATTAGTGCCATCTTTGTTACACTCCTAAACTGGATAAGAATATTGGGAACAGATTAACTTGCCTGAGTATTAAGTAATAAACACAATCGTTTAACATATAGATACTACTGTGATTTATGGTACTAAATTTTATGAAACTAACTTTTAAGTAATTTAGAATTTAATTCCATTAATAAAAAAGCGAACAAAAAAATGAAGAATCCACTAGTCGTGATTGTTACAAAAATAAATAATATTTTTTATAGAACTTTGTTCTGCTTCGCCCCAATGACCAAGGCGTTATTGCACTGTTGAGCTATCAATAGGCATCAATTTTCACTTATACAGGTGAAAAATCACGAAGAAATTGGTTCCATTGTTTTTCGGAGCATGATTACAATTAAACCTACCTGGACAGTTAGAACAGAAGAAGTTAACTGTCCAGGACTGCTCCACTTAAAAAAAAATACCCAAAAACTCAATATAGAAAACATGTATTTCATTTCCCTTTATAAACACCAATCAATTAAAACACACAGCTGCAGACAATTCATACCAACATTTTCCTAACACACTTAACTGATGCGCAACTATTTACAATCCACACGTAATTATTCTTCTTTTTCCTTTTTCCAGAACTTTTCCACCAGCCGATTTTTCAGCCTCTGAATGAGTTTTTCTTCATTTTTTTTCTTCAGTATCAGTCTTTTCGTGGTGATATTATGTAAAGGACCGAATGCTAAAGCCACCACAGTGCACGCAAGACAAATCACATTGTACGGCATGCTAAAATCTGGCGTGGGCAATGTAATGACCATATTTTCCGTGCGAATTTGTACTAAATAGCCGCTGCGAGAGGCGTTGAAACTTCCAAATACTGTGGATGAGTCTTGAGGAAGTCCGGTATAGTTTTTGGCTAAGGGTAGGAAACTGGACACAACAGCGGAGCCGATGTAAAACCCGTGGTTGGCATCTGGAGGGTATTCTTGCCATTCCAAGAAAACATAATCGAAATCTATCGATACCGTTGTAACTGAGCGAGGAGGCAGCTTTAAAACCACCTCAATATAATAAGGCTTCTTTCTTTGCCCTCCTGGGCCATACCGTAGAACAGTTGGTGTAATAACTTGGCCATTGGAAACAACATTCAAGGTATGCAGGTAAACTGGCACAAACCAGGCAATGTTTTGCAACAAAATCACTGTTAAGCTGTTCCAGTGATTGTTGTAAATCTCAGTCACAATGCCACCTCTCTGTTGTCCATAGCCAGTCAAATACTGATTGGCATGCAAAGGAGGCGGAATATTAATACTCAAATCAAACGAAGCATCGTACTTTGCATGTACATTTAGAAAGTAGCGAGGAATACTGTAGACGGCATAATCACTAACTTGTCCGCCTCTTATTGAGGTTTCTATTTTATTCGGCTCTGGGAATATACCAAAATTATGCCATGCCCTACTGGACAAATCAACGTAAATTGAACTGTTGGATGCCAGGGGACATTTCCCATGTAATCCCTGTCCGAATAGGTTCTTAAACGACCAATCCTTGGTGCCTAATAAGGCATAATCGTACACTAAGGAGACGGCCAGTTGCAACTCCAAAGCAATCGCATCGCAACTCTCCGTTTGGCAAACTTGCCTCAAATGAAGTCCTATTGAGTGATATTTGGTGTTATGAATGTGTCCGGAGTTGAGCAATGAGGCTAGACCAGCCTTGGAGCCACATGGCAACAATTTCTTGAACGGAGTTAAATTCTCCGTGCAAACAATCTCACGAGGAAGACTGGCATATCTAAAAACATCGACTAAGTCTAGGATTTTTTGTTGTAACTCGTAACACTCGAATGATGAATTAGCGATTTTTGGATAAAAAATAATTGCGAAACATCCAACCTCGCAATGGGTATTTGTACTTTTTTCGACTGCCAAGTCGTGAGTCAATCACTGAGTATTAGAAAAAATAAAATCACTTACCTGACAAAAGAATTATTAACACTTGGCCAATCGACTACTCCCCTAGGACGAAATGAAAATTCCGGACTGATGGTATTCTTGTGATCCACAAAATTAAAGGACGCACAAAGCAGGCCAGAGAGCGAGTTTGTTAGCAGCTGCCAATTGCCGGGAACATTTTTTGTATGCGGTTTGAACCAGGCCCAAACTTCGGCACCAGGAGCTGCATCTATCACTGGATAGCCCCATGTTTCGTATCTCCACAGACCACTGGTCAAGCTAATGTGCAATTCCTGGACATTGAGGCTCTCGACTATTTCTGCCAGAGCTCTCGGGAATAAATTCGTGTGGCGATCTAAAATTAAGCAATTTGCTTTATTCAATTAAATAATTACATTTTAGCTAAGTAAAGTAGTCATTCATTTAGAGCAGTGAGACACTTGACTAGTAAATGGAAAGGTTGTTATTATTTCTCTACTATATCAGGCTCTCGCACTCCAAGCTATCGGTTTCTGATGGATAATTCGACTGTATTTACGAGCTTCTTACATACAATTAGATGTCATTCTACTGCAAATACACTTCTCATTTGGTTGAAACTAAATTTATCAATGACTTTGGGGTGTTCTACACTCAATGACACTTTTTATTGCTTTCGAATATTAGAGAGAAATTACATTTACATACAGGTGTTTGTTCATCTGGGTGCAGCTGCACACACGCATTGTCTAATTCCAAACTAATAAAGCATATAGATTGTAAAGTATACTCACAATTTTCATTTTCCGGTTCCACATTCCACACAGTGGCAAAATTAAAATGTGCATACACTTGATTGCCAAACAAGGGCTTTATCAGTAGTTCTTCAGTGAAAGTATCATGTGCAAGTGACAGGGTGCATTGCAGTTGATTTATAATGCACAAAACTATCCACGACGCGAAATATTTCATACTTAAATTACAAACTTTGCTGGGAAAGTTTATAATAGGAAATATTTCATGACAAAATACACTATCAGATTATTTACATTCAGTTAGTTGTCGTAACCTATATTCATATTCATCATCTTCGGTCATAACCTATGTTTTGCACAGTACATTGCCAAGTTTATCGAAAAGATGTTGACAAATTGACAACATACATCGTCGACTAACCTTAATTTTCATTAGAAAATACTGTTGGTTGTTTACATTTTGATTTCGAAAATAAAACTGAAATGGAATAATTAGTAACAATATAGAACTTCTATATCTATTAGTAATGTCTTCAAAACCGTTCACTTTAAAGGAGGACAAGAAAATACTGCGTTATATACTTGATGGAAAACATGAAAAATCTACTCAGTTATGTTCCCTCTGGGAACAAATGGAAAGCGAAAAAGTGTGTTTTCCACGGTCCTGCCTAAGCATGAAACGAAGATTTAAGTATAAAATTATGCCAAATATTTCTAATCCTACATACGGGCTGACACAGAAGGAAAAGCTCCGCTTTACTAACAAGTCTCCCTCAGAGAGCTACCGGCCTGCAAGAATTAAACCAATATCTCTTAAAGAAGCACCCATGGACATATTTTATCGTTATTCTGTCAATGAGGACAAAGCAATATTGAACTATATTCTTGATGGAAATTATGAGAGCATCGTGAAAGGAAATGAACTGTGGAAAAAAATGGAAAGCGCCAATATTTGCCCGAAAAGAACTTGGCAAGGTCTGAGGAACAGATTCATCAAGTACCTGATTTCAAATTGTTCTGATCCCAAATACGAATTGTCCAGTGATAAACAAAAACGACTTAAAAGTGGCTTTTATGTGAACGTGAAAAAAAAGACACGCCACAGAAGCGAAGACTCGGGTGATGATAAAGTGTCTCAGATGGAACAAGTCCAGTCATCTCAAGTGAAAGCAAAAAGTTCTCAAGCACACCGAACCCCAGTGAAGACAGCCGGCCAAAACAGTGCTTCTATCAATACCACTGTATCATCAGCTCCGAGGAAGGAGTTTTATTCATTAGATGTGGAGTGGTCTGATAGTGATTGAGAATACTCCAACTACGTAAAGAACCGAATGTTTAATCTAATCATTAAGTTACGAAATTCTCAGCACTTTTACTATTTTTTCAATAAATAACGCGAGTTTGAGAGATATATCGAACGCAAATGCAGGTCGAATTAAATAAGTGCTACATAAATAATCCACTGTGTACTCTACTAGGTTATAAGCCGTAAAAACATTATTTTATTCCTACTGTTAGAGATACTTAGGCACATCAAAAATAATTGCCAGGATGGATTCCCATGTGAGCGGCTAAAGCTTGAATTCCGATTTGAAAATCTTGCGGTTCTTCAAAGTTTGACCACGCGCGAAGCTCACCTTTCCTGTTCTTCATAGTCTTCTTATCTTTAGTTTCAACAAGCTGAAGAATTTCATCTTTGATCAGGGGATTTACGCCAAAGCGATAACTGCTGCCGCCCGATCCTTTATTATCTGAAACGGCGATGTTTTTGGACTTTCGTTTCTTGATGTTCTTCATAACTTATAATTTTTTCAATTTTTTACGGGAGTTTTCAAGATTTTGACAAATGTGTGGTAACCAAACGAATTGAAAGTGCATCGGCCAATTGAGCATAACAGTATTTTTTGTTTATTTCTTGCAAGTTTTATTTTTCAAACAGTCGATTATCAAATTTCAATTTGGTTGTGAACATTATTTTTAAAACTACTAATTAGAAATGCGCCGTATGGTTTGTGTTTAAGCGCCAACAAATTTAAAGAAAATACTTCCAACACAGCATTTTATTTATTTAATACGAAAATAATTTATTAAAAGGGTGAACAAATATGTATTGAAGTCAGAGAAGTTGGACAATTATTAGGAAATCATTTTTCAGACTTTACTGAACTTACAAAGTAGGTAATTTAAAATAGTTTTTAATAGACCGAATTAAATACTGTTTAATGTTTGTTAAATTTTGTTTTATTGTAAGTTTGAGCTGAATATTTCTTTCGTAGCCAGCTCTTTTTAGGAACTACAAGCTAAATAATAGGAAATGTGAATTTGTCGATCTAAAGAACCTTCAGCCACAATTTTTTGGTAGTAGAAAAACTAGTTAGAAAATGAACACGCCCTTAACCCACGAGAAAAAATGTTCTTTCAAGGCGTAGCCGAAAGTACGCTAATGCTGATAGGTCGTACCGCAATTTAATTAGTTTTTACAAGAGCCACAAAAACTGCGTAATAAATGCTTGATCCTGTAGTGTTTTTTTACATTTTTTAATCTGTTGTTTATTTCTGTATTTTTACTCTTTATTATCTGTCGGCAGCATTTAGTAATATGCGATTGTTTTATCTTTGACGCAAAAACATGTTTTTTAATTTTTTTGTGGATTACGGCCTATCGTCATTCGGTAATCCATATAATTCGCTTATTTGCATAACTCGAGCGATTAGGTTTTTCCCAGGATAGCCCCCAAACTTACCATCCAAATCCATGACTTTCAGTCCTTGCGAATAATACTTATACTTAAAAAGCGCTTTTAAATTTTTTGAGTAATTTAAAAGTGTCACTTTGAATGAACTTGGACACTAACCGACAAAATGTAATTTCAAATTCGCAGTGCTACCAATGATAGAAAAAATTACACCGCCGCTTTGAATTTCTCAATCCGACAACACTGTGCCTACTTCTTTAAATTTCTCTTCTCCATTCCCAAAATGTCAGTTTTGTTTTGTCACCTTGTCACTTATTTCCTGTAGCTCACGCATGAGCTCACGCCATATTGGTTCTTTGTAAAAAGCAGTATATTTACTAGTACCGATTTTTCCATAGTTATTTAACGGGTCCGATCTATCAGTCACTTGAGTATCCAGTTGATTCAATAGCAGGAAACAGAACAGTTTCGGGTACACTATTGAAAACAAGTGAAGTTGCCAAGACTCCGCCAACGCCAAAGGTTTTGGTTTCTAACCGTTTTGAACTTACTAAAAATGGCGTGCGCAACATTGAAGAGAACTTTAGACTGGGATTCGGTCCTAGGAGGAGGCCGGCCGACGAAACGAAGGCGTTGTACCCCATTTTCCACCAGCCCCACTCACAGACCTGGCGATCGGTCCTCATCAAACAGTCCCTCAAGTTCGCCAATGTGCAGTTCTCAAGCCTCATTTTTTCCAGATGTACTCAGCAAAAAACTCACTCGAGGTAAGCGAAACCATTGTTTATTAAGCTGAGGAAAGCCACATGTTCTCATTGAAGAAACCCATTAAAAAGCATGGATGCATTAAAGAGCATGCAAAACCTTTGGCTAATAAGGACCTTTTGTTTGTTTATAACTAATGACATTTTTATCAGCTGATTGATGGCATGTCATATACCAGGGGAATGAGTTTTTTAACGAGTTATTGGAATTTACGGTTTTTTATGGAGTTCAAGCGTTTTTTTATATATTTCTTATTTCTCAAGATAAATTCAGCCTATCTGCTTAGCTTTATGTTGTTCCTTTGTATGTAAATTGTTCTCAGTAATGTTTGTGTGTTTCTCAAGTTATATTTAATCACTGTGTGTCTATTCAAGGTGTGTATCTATCTATTCAAAAATTTAACAGAGTAGACCTTTGTTCGTTCCATTCGAGTAGGGCGGCAACAAAGTAGGAGCTGAAACAGCTGGAAATTTTTATTAAACGAATGCCGTTTCCTAATCATGGCTTGGGTGGTCCTGGCTTCTAAACAAACCAATATAATTACTCATAGATATGTAGCTCGTGCACCTCATTTTTCTCTTCTATTTGCTTCATAGTTTGACTGCAGATACCATCACGAAAATACCACCATTAAAAGTTCACATCTAACTAACATTTCAAGATATAAAAATCTAAGATTGTATCATCATCATCATCTAAGATTTCAAGACATAAAAATCTTGGAATTGAACTTTATTTCTTTTCAATGCACAAACATTTTCCGTTTGGTTTTTGGTGTGATTTTGGTTCGTATTTTTCGACTGTAAAATTCAACTCTCCGTAGATTGAGGAGTTTAAAGAGTTGTCGTTTCTTTCCTCATAAGTACATTTTCTGTAAAATTTTCTATTTTCCAATAAAACCGGGCAATCAGTCGAGAATCGCAAATTAAAGAAAATATTTTAAACAAGTTAAAAATTAAATTATTACATTATTAAAGGGTCGGCACGCGATCATTGGCAGACATATTGCCTGTTTTGTTCTATTGTATAGCGATGACTGGTTTTTTTAAGCACATACTTTAGAGTACGCCTTACTTTGTCTTAAAATTGCTATTGGGTATTTCTTTTCCATTTACTTAAAGACTTCCCGTTATTTTGTTTGCTCGATCATATTTTGAAATAATAAGCAAGGGACAAAATTCATAAACGCATTTTTAATATTGAACACGTCCCTTTTATATTATTTTTTCATCCTCTTTTGAGTCGAATTTCATTAACGCATAATAAAAAAATTGCGTATATTTTTTATTAATAAATTTGAAACATTATAGAGTATATGGCTGAAAATATTAAAGCCGAAATAAAAAGGCTACAGAAACGAAAGCAATTAAAATTTCAAACGATGGACAATTCGGACAGTAGCGGATGCGAAGAACAAGGTAGCAAGTCGCCGTCTCGATCAGAGAAAGCTCTATTCACATTCAAACAGGTATTTTGAGTTTAAATTTGCAGTTAGTTTTTTGTTTAATTGACGCTTTTCAGGTGGGCGTAATTTGCGAACGAATGATGCGAGAAAGGGAGTCGGAAATCCGGGAAGAATACGACAATGTATTGACTATAAAACTGGCCGAACAATATGAATCCTTTGTCAAATTTACGTACGATCAAATTCAACGTAACTTTAATAGTCAGTCTACACCAAGCTGTAAGTATTCGATTGGATTTATTTCGAAAAGTAGATCCAAGTAAAAAAATCGATGGCCTAAACGGTGTTGTTTTATTGTTTCAGATTTATCATAAGATGTGACAAGAATCTGAATAGCGCCACTTTGTGCTCTCGTCTAGTTCTGTATAATAATAATAATAATAATAATATACATCCAATTATACACGCGAAGAACATATAACGTCAAAACTGTAGCACGCATCAGCCTGATTGCATATAGTATATTTTGTGATGACACCGCTGTGTGTGAGTCAATAAAAATGCCCTTACAACAGTTAATAAGCATTGTAAATTATTGTTCAGATTATGTAAGTCTCGGAAAAAATTGTTATATCACAATGTTGCAGCGACTATTGCGTGCAACTGTTTTGTGCTTATATGAATAGTATACAATTTCCTACCGAAGATGCTGATTGAAATATGCCTTGGACTGTAAACTTAATATTTTTGTCGGCATTTTGTATATATTATTACATTTTATTTTGTATTTTTTATAGGAGTTTCAGAATAATATATTCGTTACTTTCGTGTACATATGCTTTCTTTTCTATGGCATTGCACATGTTTTGATGTGATATGTATTTTGATCGTCGAAGGTACGTGGTGTCAAATACAGTTTAAGTGTTTTCTGATCATCAAGAAGTTATGTGAGTATTTTTCACAAATTGAATTTACAGACTTACTAATTAAGTATTTGATAAGCATGTGGTTTAGAACTGAAAAACATTGGATATTTTATTTAAGAGGTAATTTAAAAAGACTTAGCATACTTCAGTTTGTAGTAATTGTTTATTTAGCTTTTAATATGTAGGTTAGGTATTTTAATCTTTGGGGTAGTACCATTATAAGTCCGGTATAAATACCTATTTTTTTATATTACCTCTTCAATTTTCAACTGTGTCTATATATAAAACTCTCAATCTTTGGTCTTGGAAGACCGTTTTCATACAAATGTTGTAAAGTCTTCTAATTGCCCTAATTGCTGAAGTTTTTTTTTTTTAATAAAACCTGTGAAAACTACGGATTTGTTAAGGCAAGGAATTTGTTTTCGTATTGCCATAAAACCCCCATTTTTCTGTTTAAAATGGCCCACTCAATGTTCCAATGTTTGCCAATCGCGGCAGATTATTTGAATGGGACATTTTCACTACTCGATATAAAGCTTTTAGTATAAGAAGTTTTGTAACTATTTTTAAGACCAGTTGGAGATGAAACTTGTTAGATTTTAGCTGATATACCTATTGATTATTATTATTAGGGAAAGCTAGATTTATCTCGAACACATTAGGCTTAAAACTGTTTATCTTTTATCGCCAAATACATCGCAAAGCGGAGAAAAGCCAGTGAAAATATCTACTAAAAATAATTTGACTCTTGCAGTTTCAATTGTAGAAATCAAAGCCAATATTTCTCGTTCATATAGTAACAATGATGGTTATTTTTGCAAGATGGCAATATTTCAAGTGACTCTTCTACGCTTTTACGTATTAATAACTGGTAGGAATTGGATATTTCACTTTCTGGTTGAAATTGCAATTATCAAAATTACTTTCTTCTTTACATAACAAGAACCTGTATTTGCATATTTTTGTGAAAAAAATTGACTTTGTTAATTCTACATTTTTGTAGTGAAGTAAACGTTTTTTTTTGTTAAACGATAAATAAATTAAAAACCAACAAGTTTATAAGCCAAATCCTACTTTGAAAAGATTGATGGCGTTTTTTTGTTAAGTACATTTTTTTGTTGCTTCTGTTGATCCATCATTTCAGCAACCGATTTTCCGTGCTAAATCACCTCGTAGGTCCTAATTTCATACTAACGAAAATTTGTTTCATTTAATAAACGATTGCTATTGAATATTATGAAGTGGTTTTATTTTTACTACCGTTACTAGTCAATTTATCAGTAAAAAGTACACTAAATGAATTAAACTAAGGAAGTAAGTGTTTTTTAAAATAAGTTTCACATTTACTTTAGTTTTAAAAATGTGAGTGTGTGCAATTTATTACCAGTCGTTTATTTCAGCTTGGTGCCAATAATGTTCGTGTTTGAGGAAGGAAATAAAAATATATGCAATTCCAGTAGACACTTTTAATTCAATATCACAAGTATAAAAAATTATATAACAATAACGTTAACAATTTAATATTTAACAATTTGCTCGGTATAAGTCCTTCTAAGTTTACCCATCAAGTTCCATGTCGGCCAAAAAATAAATCAAAATAACGATGCAAACCAACTGACAATTTAGGGATCAAAATTTAAAAGATAATCTTTTAATTGATTCGGTAGATTTAATCGGTTTATGTACAAGCCTGGTCGTCGATTAAGACAATTGTGTATTTTAACTCTGCAAATCTGCTTCAACGTCCTAGGCCTACTATAAAGGTTCCTAATGATATTTGTCAGAGGTTCGGTCGTTTTACCTGGAACTAGACTTAGTTGTTGGGTATGTAATACTCTTAAACATTCAAATAAGGGCTTATGTTGCATAACAAAATAAAATAGCATGATAATTTTCGAAAAAGTCATGTTTGGGTCCATTATAAGGTTCTCTTTGCGAGATATCAACAAAATATAGTAGTATAGGATGTGATTTTTTGATTTCCATATACTCTGGGAATGCAGAGCGTGACTTTTTATTGCTTCAGACATACTGAGAAGTAAATCTGGATTGGCACCATACTGAATCAATGTCAAAGTTAAATCATACACATAATGAATATCCTTACACTCTCGAACATTCTGCGTCATATCCATACAAGACTGCAGAATATGTTGCGTTCGGTTACTCACTTTCACGTTGGGATCCAGCTGATGCGTTAAGAGCAATATTAGCAGATTCTTGACAAACTCGAAGTTTATGTTTTTCTGCACATCACAATTTAAAGTTATGTTCTCGGATACAGTAAACACTAGCACATGCAAAGGAGTCAGATTTGCGCGGTAACTGCAGTTAGGATTTGCACCATGCTTTAGAAGGATTCGAATACAATTCAAGTAGCACACCTGGAAGGCAAGAATAGTCGAGGGTTGAATCGTGGCTTTTTCAAAAAGTTGAAAGAAAACAGGAAAATATTTAGTTACCTTCATGTTGTGGGTAAAATTATGCAATGGATCTTTGTTGATCAATGGGACAAGACATACCATTAATGGAACTGAACCATCACGACCGACTTCATTTGGATTTCCTACAAATGTACACGTTTTATTGGCTTGTTTTTCCAACAAGCGCTAAGAGTGATGTTGAGACTTTTTCTACTTTATGTTTAAGCCGCTTTATGAAGTGAAAACTGGATTGTTTGCAATTTAATAGCATAATACAGGAGATTAAATTTTGTCTAACCAATATCCTCAATACCAGCTACCAAATTTGCGTGGAAAAACTCATTCCGCGTACGACTTACCATCCTCATGCAATAACATATTCAGTAATTCATAGCACACATCCCAATCTCTCACGTGCCTCAATACACAAGCCACAGCTGAATTTCCGCTGTGATTAATAGATGGTTTGGCGCCAGATTGGATCAGGTACCGAACCAAATGCAGAATATCCCATTTGTTCCATTTATCGTAACCGTATTGAGCCTCCTCTAGCGCGTATCTCACTATAAGTGCGTGTAATGGAGTGTTTCCTAAACTGTCCGGTGCGTTGATCAGTTCTTTGCAACCATGCTCCAACAGAAGGCGTATGGTGGCGATTGTATCCTCTGCCGATTTATGGGCGACAAGCAAAACTGGAAAACTCATTCTTAGTAAGTCTAATCACCTTTTTTAGATTTGGTAACTAACCAACGTGCAGTAAGGTCATTTGCTGAGTACAAGTGCGGACCTTAGTGTCGGCACCAGCTGCGATAAGCAGCTCCAAAAATTTCAGATCATTTGAGGCCGCATAATGGATCGGGTAATATTCATCCTTTAAAATATGTATTTCTTCGCTACGCTCTTGGACTAGATATTCTGTGCAGTTCCAGGCTTTGCGTTCGCAGGCGGCATGAAGTAGGGGCTTCCTGGCTCTAAATATGCCATTCTATTGAAATTAACACAAATTAACTAAAGAAACACTGCCATTCCACGGGTCCTACCCAAGGATCCTCAGTTCTTTGCGATAGCATTATCAGGGTGTTAACTTGATCGCCATCTAAAGCATAGTAGATGGCTGATTGCAGTTTGATCGACGGCCGATTATCCCGCGAGTCTCGTTCAATGCAACTATCTTCCTGTTGAATTGCCGCACCTTAACATAACAGTACAAATAAATGATACATTTTTCAGAAAAATGCAAAGCTCACAATATTTGCCGCGTTCTTCGCAGTTACTAGTGTGCGGTCCTGGCCAACACATTCGAGCCTCAACGTCGATTTTCGCACCATGTTTTAAAAGGATTTCCACACATTCTTCATGGCTGCAATAAGAAACTTTATTCAGAGCGATTCTCTACATTCGTATTGATTGTTTAAAATACCCTTTCAAACAGGCGATATGAAGAGGGAGGCTACAAGGAAATCTGTTGATATCCGCCACGCTATGTTTAGCTAAAAACCAACGAACTAGTTCGACATTGTTTGCACCCACGAACTTTTGCAATAAATTGTAGCCAGTTTCATCATGAATGGCCAGTACATTTTCATTCTGAAATGGACAGTATTAGTTAATAATTGTGCAAAGAATGAGCTATTTCAGCCAAAGTGAACTTCTAACTTTAACACCCTGTACCTCTGAATGGAAGGAGTACTTAGAGGAAATTTATTGAGTTCTACAAAAAGTGGCACATCTGTTTTTTTGTTTAACTTCAAAATTCTAATTAACGTTTTTTTGTAATTTGTAGCTTAATTTTTTGGCTACTATTTCACTTGCAGGAAATGTTGATTCTTCATTTTACATCACAGATAACGGAAAAAACATCACGCCAAAATATAGTCAACGCGTCTTTTTAACAAAAATTAGCAAAATATGTACTAATTGTCCTGCATTTTTAGCGATTTTTGTCAATACAAATATTTAGCGGTTTTGTCAAAAATTACAGTTATGTACACTGAATGCTGCGTTCTATGCTGGGCCGTTTAAACCAATCAGGTTTTTTTCAGTTAACTGAGTATATCCATCTCGTCATCTCCTAAAGGAGAGATTCGAAAAGAAAATCTAAGAGGTTCTCCTGTATGAGGTATTTGATGTATTTGTATGGTTTATTAACTTCCTGTAATTAGCAGCATTTGTCTTATAATAACTATGAAACCGAAGGCTTTAAGTTTACCTTTGGTATCTGAAGAAATAGGCCTTCAATACGCTGCACTCCAATCTTGGGGTTGGCAGTCAGGGCATCGAAAATGTCCAAAATATTCTTTCTAGTCAGATCAGACACTTTGTGTCCATGTCCGTTCGTTAATAGAGCGCTCCCCGACTGAAATACCTGGCTCACTGAACCTCCCATTTCACATAAGCTCTATATTATCCATGGCAATATTTGCTATAAACGAATTAGCTGATATTGAGGTTGATAATAATAAAAACATGAATTTATGGGGCAAAGTAGCGCTAACTAGGAAACCCACTAAGGATAACCTCAAACCCTTTTCAGAAGTGACGTTTTCTCCCTGAGAGTATACCATAGGAGTATATAAACAATCACATATCCTAGCTTTCTAAGGCAAAATTCCCAAGCCAATTAAAGATCAGCTAGTGAATGGTTTATTATATAAGAACCTTATAGAAGCCACTTTCAAATCAATGAAAAGACTGCTGGAAACTACCGAGGTATGTATGTCTTAAAACCCGATTGTATAAAAATTAACAGGAGAAGCAACTTCGCAATTGGATTAAAGAGTTAAAAGAAACCCTCCACAGCTCTGTCTTCAATGATACCATTTTTCCATGTGAAGCCCTTTAAATATCCAGCATAATTTAGCTGCGAGAACTAAATAAAGACTTACACAGACTGTAATATGTATTTAAAGCTGTTCACCCTGATGTCACGGACCAAAATCAAAATATCCGCAAATCATTCCGATTCCCTCTGGTTTCGATTGGATAGCAGCATCTAATTGAGGTATTAAGCACAATAAGATCGGTCTACGCAACAGAAAAATAGGAGCGGAAAAACGATTTGAAATTAAACAACAAAGTTAGAGTTTTTTTACGCAGTTAAACGCAAAAACGTAATTGTTACGGAACATTCTCATATCGGTACGATAAAAACAATTTAATTACATTTACGCAAACACTAAAACGTCTATCCCTGCAACACTCCCCTCATCCCGCAATCGATTGACGCAGGAAGCAGCGCAGCGAAACTTGCAGGTTTTATAAATTAACCATTACAATTTTAATTAGTTTTTGTATGCTTCTAAATAATTCAATAGAATCACAATTTTTTCTTCGTCGATTAATTTAGCTTTTGTGGAAGTAAATGAAATAAAATATAAATGTACAATTTGAGATTGGTAAGCTCGAGCGCTGTAGACTTACTTATCGGGATTGTAGCATTTGTAGGCCGATTGTACTATCTGAGGTAAGCTGTTGGTGAAAAGCTTAAATCAACAGCAATTCAAGAACTTTCAAAAACAATAAAACATGAAAAGTAATTTAATTTTCTCTGAAGTAAAATGCTGAACAATTCAATGCCGTTTAAACGAGCAACAAATACAAATTATTTAGTTGGATTAGCTTCATTTTGAACAATTCACATAGAGATGTCGATGGTACTTTCTTCTTTGTTATACGCGTGTCTAACGCAGATCAGACAATGCACAGATAAGATTGATTGGTAAAAATAATTAATTTGTAATATATAAATTAAGCATTAAAAAGAGGATACTTTCTTAT